CTGCGGTTCGGCACTGCAGGGATACGTGGTGGTTGGGCCCTGCAGGGATATTCTTGGTGGTTGGGCACTGCAGGGATACTTGGTGGTTGGTCCCTAAAGTCAGCTTCCAGTCGGGCGAGGACAACATCTACCTTAAAATCTAACAACCCCACTGCGAGGGTGGGGAACAAGCCCTAAGTAAGCCCAAAACAAGCCCAAAACAAGCCCTAAATAAGCCCTAAATAAGCCCAAAATAAACCCTAAACCCCGGGAGCCCTAAGCCCTGAGGTTTGAGAGTGGCAAGCCAGCCTGGTGCCCAGCTTCTTCAAGCTCATAGGATCCCAATAAGGATATTACACAGGAATAATGGAAAAGAAAATGGAAACTACCATTTAGGGTCTAGGGTTATATTGGGGTTACATAGGGGTAATGGAAAAGAAGTGGAAACTACTATTTATATATGTATATATGCATACTACTCTTCACAGAGATTGCTCAAGAATATTTCCCTGAACAAAGGAGAATCAAATAGAGACCACCATGGAAACTATAATGGAAGCAAGTCCACAACAACTTGGAACCCTAAACCCTAAACCCTTCATCTGCCATCAGTTGCCGGACGGCATGTTCTGGATTGTCGAGATGATCCCGGGCGTCTCGGAAATGCAGGCATGGAGCAAACATGGATGCTATGATGATTTTGGTTCATCAGGGGTAGGTTTGAACGTGATCTTTTTTCATTTTGTTACCGTTAGTTGCTATGTAATCCTTATGAAGCCATGAGAATCACTTTCTATAGGGCACCGAAATCTACCCTAGTCATTAAGCACGCAACATCAGGCGCGGGGTCCCCAAACTTCGCGTTGCCACTTGTTGAGCAAAAGCTAGTATTATGGATGTCTCAATAGTCATTGGAGCTTAGTCAGAGAGCAATGTACCAATTGCCTTAGCCAGGACATGACCGGATTCCTGCGGGAGCACAGGCCAGAAGGGTTGCCCCCTGTAGTTTTGAGTCCAGTCCAGAAGTCTTGAGATGCGCGTAATTCCTGTCAGTTCAAGGTTTCGTTGTTATAGAAGACTTCGCCAGCAGGCAGGCCTCAACACACTTCATACTGCTAGCCAGCTCTGGATTTCAAAGCTTGGAGCCCAAGCGAATAGCAGCGGCTTCGAAAAGCAAAGATTACACATGGTTGGACATGTCTTCCTTGACAATGTGTCCAGGAAAAGGATGAAGAGCTATGTTAAACTGATCCGTTTGTGTTTTATTTTCTGCTCGCCCTCCTTGACCCTTGACTCGGTAGGTTTGTCAAGCTGGACCAGTGGAGATGAGATAAGTTGTATAACCCAACCTAGCAACCACCGAAACTACACTACTGACTCTTCGCACGGCTATCAGCCCTACTGTTCTCTGGATATTGTTAGTGTCTTTAGCTGTTACTCTTTCACAAGAAGCTGGGGAAGGTATTGGGCGTCCTTCAACCGCCCCTTCTTTGCCAAGACACGTGAGTTGTCCGGCCGCCAGGTCTGGATTATTACCGCAGAGGCTTTCCCAAAATCCTCTACCCCCGTTTCATGAGAGTGGAGTGCTCTTGTGGCCTGAGTTCTGTGATGTTTTTTTTTGGTGTTCCTTCCTTGCCTGAAGCTTGCTCGCTGTTGTGCTCAGGCTTCAACGCTGCTGAGAGGACCCACGGATCCCTCTATTCATATGAGGCCGGCAGCTGAGTTGTTTGTCAATCGTTCCATCTGAGATTGATGTGGCACTGGTGGAAGATTCCCTAACGGATTTACTGAATAAGTGATGTTGTTCTTCAAAGTCCGATTCAGGCTTACAATCCATTCTTGTCTCGTGCCATTCAACTTACTTTTGGTAGGGTGCAAGCTTGAGCTTGCTTCACAATCCAATCCCCATTCATTCATGGATTGTGCTTCAGAATGAGGTTTTCCTTACCATTGGCCGCCATACAGGTCAGCTCGCAACTGCGTTCCCGTCATCTTCCACATGCTAGTCCTAGACCTGATTGGGGAGATTTCTGCAACTCCTAAGATCCTATTTTGAAGAACATGATTCCAGAAGACTGCCCAACCCCAACGCCAGGGCAACCCTCGCGCCTATGCCTTCCGCATGGCCGCGCCGGCGATCAATGTGCCTCGACCGCCCCCGGCTTTCGGGACCACTATTCCCACATGATTCATCATAGAAACAGTGAGAATCATGATAGTCGCTCGTGGTTTGAGATGAGAAGCGACTCCAAGCAGTTTCCTGTGACTGAGAAAAGCAAGCAGAACCTTGGCAAAGGCATCGCAAAGTAATATTCCTATTCTTATTATTACTATGACTACGGTTATTCCTTTTATTACTTTTATCAATACTGCTGTTATTCCTAATGCTACTAGTATTATTATCACTTCTGTTATTAAACAACTTGGCAAAGGCATTGCAAGAGATGAGGGATGTCATGACCCAGAACGCGCAGCTCGACGTTGTGTAGCTGTCATTCCACGTCATCCCCGGGGAGTGTTCATGGGGGGGTTACATAGGGATTATATAGGAGCTACATAGGGGCAATATAGGGGTTATATAGAGGTTATATCGAGGTTATATAGGGTCTATATAGGGATAGTGGAAAAGAAAATGGAAACTTCCACCTAGGGCCTGGCTTTTGGGCTTAATTTCTGTTTTTCGAGAAGGAGTCGCTGGTGTGTTCCATCCTCCGAAAGCATGGCTTTACAAGTCTGGGGTCAGACGCGTTCGTGTTGCCTTTGACTGATGAAGCTGAAGCTACTGCTGGGACAACGCTGCTTGCACTGCTTTCAAGATCAGAGGCACTTCTGCCCAATTGTGCGTTATTATTTTGTCTCTCTCAGTTCTCTCTCTCTCTCTCTCTGACTCCTCTCCTCTCCCATCCTCTCCCGTTTCCTCTTCACTTCTGGGTCTCTGTCCCTTGTATATGTTTGGCAATTTGTCGTCGACGGTTGCAGTCAAGATGTACTGCTTAACTGCAGGTATCCCTATGGCAGTCCGCCGAACGATCCGGGACACCAAATTTCCGCGCGCATCGGCCCTGGCATCTTTCTGGTCACACTATGGGTATATGGTAAAAAATGAGGGTTTCCTTATCATCGTAACTTATGGTAACTTACTTTAGGTTCTTTAACAGCAATGCAGATTCTGCAGGCATGGATCTCAGTCCAATCCTCAAGTTGCCGAACGGGGGCATCGATGCCAAGGTCGCGGTTATCCGGGCTGTCAAGGGCCTGCTTAGGTACGAAAATAGGATTAGGGTTTAGGGTTTAGGGTTTAGGGTTTCTAAAGTATAGGTGATATATAGGGATAACTCATGGAAAAGAAAATGGAAACTACAAGGATTATAGGGCATATTAGGGTAACATAGGAGAAGAACCCGCCAACCTTTACAGTTCCAAGTGTAGATGACATCACTTATTAAAACATGCCTATCCAGTGCAAGCCACCCCTAACCTTACCTTTGGCGAGATAGGAATGAAGGAATGGATCTTTTTAGTAGTTCCTAGATGGCCCATTATAGTAGTCTCCATTTTATTTTCCATTCCTTCCTTTCCTAAACCCTAAACCCTAAACCCTAGCTAGCCAAAGGTAAGTAATCCAGCCAGAGAACTGAGAGGTGGTGAACCGCTGCCTGCTGAAGAAGCTGCAGGCCCAGGCCATTAGCGGTCCAAGCCCTTCGCCTCGGTTTTTGGTTTAGGGTTTAGGGTTTAGGGTTTAGGGTTTAGGGGGTGCTCTAAAAGGGAGTGGGGGAACGGATCCCTGGAAGGCTCTATGGCCCTAAATTACCCTGTATGACCCAATATGACCCTGTATTTTCCCTATGTTACCCAATATTATCACAATATGATCCCTTGCAACGATCCTCATGTTCACTCCCTCCACTCCCTTTAGCACCAGTCTATGCAGGCATTTGCAGGCATTTTGGCCCTTTGTGCATGGAGGCTGTGTTAGAATACACAAGTCGAGCATAGTCTTCATCGAGCCTAAACCCTAAATCCTAAACCGCAGTATCCAGTCTCAAAATCGCTCGAGGTGCTTACTTGGCTTCAGGAGACACTTCATCCGCATGTTGTGAGTCATTAGATGGCCTAATTCCCTCCCCTAATATGACCCTCTCCACCCGCCTTGAATTACACGTTCTCACTATGGTATATCGTAGTATACGGAATATCTGGGAATATTTAACATTCGGGGCTTGCGGGACTTGAGATCAGCCCTGGACCTTGAACCCTAAGCCTAAATTCTAAACCCACAACTTAAAAGCCTAACCCTAAACTCGTAAACTTTAACCCTGAGCCCATAGCCCTAAACACCGGATTAGATTTCTTAGGCCACACGCGCCACGAACCCTTCCGGTGGAAGGCTGAGGATGGTGACCCCCCTTTTTACTTACTAGTGGTTGTTTAGGGTTTAGCGTTTAGGGCTTACGGTTTGCAGTTTGGGGTTTAGGGTGTAAGGCTTAGGATTTAGGATTTAGGGTTGAGGGATTAGGGCTTAGGGTTTACAGTTGTTGGTGGGGAATAAGGGACTCTAATCCTTGTACAATCCCTCCATAAGATGTTCCCTTATTCCTTACTAACCCTAACCCTAAACCCTAAACCCTAATCCCTAAACCCTAAACCCTATTCCTTACTAAGCCCCCAGGAAGTTTCGGGTTGCCAACTGAGGGGCTAAGGATTTGTACAGGGTCTGCATAAGGAGTGATACAGTCTAAGGCTCTCTGAATCACCCCCTGGAACTACCCCCTTCATCCGTTCATCCGGGAGGAATGTGACTGATCGCAGGGCATCAGGATATCCATATCAAAAGTGAGTTCAAGCAAAGTTTCAAAGCAGTCTCGCATACCGAGGGGCCGGATTTCAGGGGTTCCCAGATAATCCCCAAAATCCCGAAATAGTATAGGAATAGTCCCGAAATAGTGTGGGTGGTCGCAGAACCAGATTTCGGGGTTTCCCAGCTTCGGACAGCAGCTGATCTCCTGAATTCATCGATGCTCAAGTGAGTCCTGCGCAGCCCCTAAATAATAGCTAAATAGAGAGGAAATAGTCACGAAATAGTCCCTATACAGGTACCCCTTCAGGGGGTAGCTCCAGGGGGTGATTCAGAGAGCCATAGATACAGGGTATATAGGGATCCACATAAGGAAGTGGTCATACTGAGGTTATGCCAGGGATTATGTAGGGTTTGGTGATTTTATGCCACTATGGGAGAAATACGATGGATAATGACATAGCAACCATTGAGTGCAGGAATTAGCATTCTTTTGTGCCTTGATGTGTGTTGGGATCTAGAGACGTTCTGGCCTTCATTTTAGTATGTAGGTTCGCCATTGAGTGACTTATAGAGGGTTTATACATATATATATATATGCATGCATGTATATTTAGCAAGTCCATCGAAGTCCGCCCAGCATTCCCTGCACAGCTCTAGGTACGGAGCTCTGGCCGCAGTATCCTCATGCTGGCCTGCCGAACCTGTGGAATTTCGGCTACGCTCCTCGGCTGTCATCATGCGGCAAAGTCTCAAATTTTTGCAGAGGCATCGCCTCAGAAGAGGAGAACAACTCACATCCAAGCGTAGGCCTAGGGGACCCCTTCTCCCGGAGTTGCAGTCGGGCAGTACCCGAAGCTGGGGCCCCAAAAGTTAACCTAGGTGCAGCTCGCCCAGTTTGGGCAGATGGCTATCACCGATGAGAGTGATTGCTGATGCTTGAGTTCAGACCGTCAAATGTCATCTGTATGAGAATACCTGACATGCTGGGAATTCCTTCAACTGGCATACCTTACTAGAGTACTGACGTGGGTAATTTTGTTGCTGGTGAGATACAGAGAAGACGTTTCACAGACAGGAGCGAGCGCAAGCTTGTCCCAAAAGTTGTTCTTCTGTTTCTGGCATTGACAGTTCTCAGTGTCGCAGCAAAATACTTCGGGTGTTCGTGCTACTGTTAGCACTCCTACCATCGGTTCGCACTTCTTGTTATTGCCAGTCCATGCTCAACCCTTGACCTGCACCCGCGCCTGGGCTATGGCTCTCAGTGTGGTGGAATGCCCTCTCCCCACACCGAACCTCCATGGCCCATGTTGCTAGCAGTTTTCTGCTGCAGCTTGCATTGCAGGCCTTGTGGAAAGCATGGTTCTTGCTTCTGCCATCCTTGGGATGTTGTGGAAGAGTACGGCTTGAATGCTCCTCCCAAGTTTTGGTGTACAGATGCAGCGCACATATTTAGTGCTTCAGTCGTCTTATTGCAAATACAGTGCTTTGTCTTTCTGCCGTGGCATCATTTGCGCTGCAGCAGGTTTCGTGATGGTCACCATCCAATGTCGTTATTCGTTGTAGTTGGTCTTCTGCAGAAACTGAGCACTGCTGCTGCCACCGCCGCTGCGTGTACTGAGTTTGGCTCACTGCCATTCTGGCTTCTTTTGCCCATGCTTCTTCCTGTCCAGCATGTGCTTCCGCTAACCGGAACCATAGTTTCACAAGCAACCGCCACCAGCGCTTCCGAAACAGGCAAGGTTACATTTAATGTCACTGTTGTGGTTACGGCTGCCAGCTCTGGCGACCGCACCATCATGCCGAAAGAAGATACTAGTATGGCATGATGCTTAGATTTCGCGGTTTCGCGCTGCGTGCACACCAGGTCGACCAGAATACCATCCTTCAGGAGAACACTTCGGTGCTTTGTTCGCCAGATGATGAGGACCCATGGCATTCTTAGCTCTAATTGGATCCTATAGGTATGGTTGGTTCTGAGCTAAGGTTGTTTTGTCCTGACTTTGTGTTTTTCGAGTGGCCTCGAAAGCTGACGGGGCAATAGTCGGCGACTCCTTTCTGTGTCTTCTGCTGGTTTCTCCTATGGGTAAACGACCCTTCCATTTCTAGGGGTAGACTTGAAGAGAAACAATTGGACTTTACTGTCATCCCAACCCCATGTGAAAACGTCTAACATCTAAAAATCCACTGCCTGCTGCAAGGACGTACGTGTTAGCGCATAGGCTGCATAAAAGACCAGAGTCGTCTCAGATTAAATGCAGCATGCGTGTGCACCTGCCTGTTCTGATATGTTGCGAAGCTGGGCACCTACCTTGTGCAGAGGCATCTCCACAATCATCCCGCAATTACATCCGTACTAAAAAAAACTCAAATCCTCCAACATCCGTGGTGGATGATGCTGGTGACAAAGATGACGATGACTTTAAATTCTACGTCCCAGGAAATAGTTGCAGCCTTTTACCCAAACAGCAAACCCTGCACCCTGACGCCTGAACGCTGAAACTTGAAGCCAGGTAGCTTACTGGTGCTTGGTGGGGAATAAGGAAGCATATATTGCAGGGGTTTCATAAGGATTATATTCCCTTATTCCCTATTGACCCCCAGTAAGGTAGAGTGCAGGCCATAGCCTCCTACTGGGCCTATGGCGATGGGCATTGGACCGCGGCCCATGGCTGCGACGTGGCGCGCCAAGAGGAGGTGGCTTTCCGAAAATTAGGGTTTTTAAAGTTTAGGGGTCTGGTTTTGGGATTGGGGGTTCAGGGTGTAGTGTAGGGGTTAAGGGTTTAGGGGTTCTGGGTTAAGGGTTTAGGCGTCAAGGGTTTAGGGGTTCAAGGTTTAGGGTTAGGGTACTTGTTTCTGCAGTGTTATTTCTGTTGTAGTTCTAAGAAGATCATTGTTTTAGGGGTTCCTACAATTTCCCAAAATTAGGGGGTACTTTTATGCGGGTCCCTATACAGTAGTAGGAGAGTTTTCTGTAGTCTCCTTAGGAATTTGTCTTAATTTTTGTTATAGTATAACCCTAGAGAATTCATCAAAAATTATATTTCTATTGGGATACTCTAGGGATGCTAAACGGACATTATAGGGATCTTTTGGGGATATTATAGGGATAATCCAGAGAACAAACAGGGCAATCATCAGCACAACCATGATCAAATCAGCAGGAATGCTTCAATACTGGCACGTTGACCATGGCATTGCGGGGAAAACAGTTGAACCATTGTTGATACATCATATTCAGCAGACTTCAAGCCTGAATGAGCTGACGGCTAACAAAGAGGGTTTTGGTGACCCCGATCCCTCAAATTAGGACCCTATTATAGTCGTATGATAGTGCTAGGATCCGTATTATGGGGGTTGGGCTCAGTGCAATCCCCGTTTCTGATCTCAATAAACACACATTGAACATTGAGATGATCTCAGTCTCCATTTCTTGATTCTCCATTGCTGAGGGCAAATTCAGTATACAACCCCTACATAACCTTTGCATAATTCCTATAGAGCTCCTATATAGCCCTTACTCGATTCAGTATACAGCCCTTACATAACTTCTGCATAATTCTTGTAAAGCTCCTATATAGCCCTTATTCGAAATCCCGAGGCCCTAAACCCTGAACCCTAGACCCTGAACCCTGAACCCTAAACCCTAAGACCTAAACATTGAACCCTGAATCCTGAACCCTAGACCCTGAAGCCTAAACCCTAAACCCTAAGCCCTAAACATTGAACCTTCAACCCTAAACCCTGAACCCCAAAGCCTAACCCCTAAACCCTGAACCCTGAACCCTATTACTGATGGCAGGACTTTTCTTACTGGAGCCAAACCTGGCCTGCCGGTTACACCGCGCTACGGGGTCGGGGTCCGTCAAAACAGATGGGAGGTTTACAGGGTTTGTACAGGATTCAGGGTTTAAGGTGGTTTAGGGTTTAGGGCTTAGGATTTAGGGAGGCTTTTAGGGATTGTACAAGGATTCTATGGGGACATTAGGGGAATTATATAGGGATGAGATAGGGACATTGTAGGGATATCATAGGGATATCTGACATGGAGAGAATAGGGGTTATATGGGGATGCTATAAAACATTGTTGGGATATTATAGGGATGTTACAGGACATTGTAGGTAGGTTGTAGGGATTATATTCGGACATTGTAGGGACATTTTAGGTTTGTTGTAGGGATCTTGTACGGATCTTATAGGGGTCTTATGGGGATCTTGTAAAGATTATATGGGGGTAATATGGGGATATTACCCCAATGATGGAGAATCAAATGGAAAAGAGCACAAAAAATGAAACGGAAACCGGGATTATAGAGGGGTTTATAGTGATTAGGGTTTCCAAAAAAATTGGGGTCCCGTTTAAGGGTCCCTATAACAAGATTGTAGTATTAAGGGGTCCCTCTGGGCCCTCCGGCTTATGGAAAAATCCTATAATCCATTCACCAACAAAGGTTCAGGATTTCGGGTTAAGCTAAGGTTTGGGTCTGCAGACCATACACGACTATGAGGATGGTTTCTGACAACTGCAACAGGTATGTGTCTTCATTTGGCCGTGGCTCCAGTGATCACTCTTCGCCCCAAGGGCCTAAGTTGAATATATCTTCGAGAAGAAGCCAAAATGGATAAGGTAGTTGGTAGCTAAGGCTGCGGGGAATGTAGACGTCATCTTCTTTGGATGTGTCCTTGAGAATGTCGATTTTTCGGCTTCTGCATAAGGCAAGTGGACACTGATAATAGCAGTCAACAAAAATCCTGCCTTCTTGCCAAGCATCAGGCTGGACTGTAAGCCCAAGCTTTTTCACGTAGCTCATATCATCCCTTGCTCCCTAACATACTCCCTGTAAACCTTCTATGGGGTTTCCCAAAACCATAATAAGGACTATAGTATATTGGGGTGTATATTGGGCTACCCTAATTTTGGGAAACTACCATATCATCCTCTGCAATCAGTTTTCTCGTTCCTGCCAAGCGTCAGCCATTCTATAGTCAGGTGAAGCAGGCTATCAGGATCCTGCGTTGCGCACCGCGGTGGCTTGCTTGAGATTTTGGGGCTCAGGATCTGTAGGTTTTGGGGTAATACGGTACAAGTGTCATGGTGTAGGGACACGTTGGGGAGTGGACATCATGTAGAGATTATCGGCATTACATCGGGATGATGAACGTTTTGGATCAAATAAGATTTAACACTGATGCCTCAGGATGCAGGATGCGGGACGAAGGGTTCAGGAGCAAAAGAGACGGACTTTTAAATGGGGGTCAAGCTGCTTATAGTCCTAAGAGGAGCGGTGCATCGGAGTGGGTATGCGTGCGGGTGCTCGGGGGTCTGTGAGAGCCTGTCGTTTGAAGCATAGCCGTAGGAGTTTGGACTTTGTCGCATCACTCAGTCTCGCGTGAGGTCCTAGGATTCTGGATTGTGATCTTGGAATCTTGGCATTCCACTATGGCTGGTCCCGCCAAATCTCCAGATCTGACGGCCTACATTAGGTGTTAACACTTGTCCCAAGGTGTGGATGTTGCTTCGCGACTCTTTTTGGAAATAGGGGTTTGATTAATGGGGGTATGCATCTATACCCCTGCATGATCATACTAACTACAAAGCGCGCATACTTATCGGAAACCTCAAAATTCACCAACTCAGGATGGGTATAGGGGCCATATTATGATTATATAGGGGCTATATTATGATTAGGGGCTATATCCGAGGATGGGGTCTATGTTTTCGACGCAGAGTACTGCCGCTCATCTTGCCTTGGAGGTTTTGTGGGTGGGATTCATTAGGGCTTACTTATTGGTGGTTAGTAGGGAATAAGGGAAAACAATCCCTGTATAATCCTTATATGGCCCCATATAGTATACTCCCTATAGAATATATTATGTTTCTTTATTCCTTACCAACCCCTCGAAAGCTTACACGGAGGATAGGGGGCACGCGGAGCTTGGCCTGCTAGGTGTGGCATGCTCAGGGTAGTCCCCTCCCCGAATTTGAAAAAATCCACCCCCCTAATATTGACAATTCCCATTGGGGTATATTACAATGTGTAGCGAGTACGTCTTATTAGGGGGGTGGGAGGTTTGAATATTAGCGGAGAGGATTAATTTGGCTTTCAGGAGTGGTCGACACAGAGCTCTGCATAGGCTTTGTCCTCAGGGGCGCATACCAGTTGTGGGCTTCCGGCATTAATCCTGGCAGACTTTAAGATTTCTGCCTCAGACAAATCGTGCCTACAGCAGGTCTTAGTCATAGCCGTCTTTCCACAATTCCTGCACCAATGCCCCCCTATATTAAGACCACCCACCCCTTTTATATGTTATATACACACATATTAGAACCCACCCCTTATATATATGTATTATGTAAACATATTTTAGAATGTATAGGTGACCTTGTCTGGAAGAAGTAAGGTACCACCAATGGCTTCCTGGACCTAGCAAACAAGGCAGAGCTGCTAAAGAACTATTCGGCTATCATGGAGCTTCAGGAGCTTATGTGAGCTACGTTGCACTTCCAGCCGTATGGTAACAGGGTTTAGGGTTTAGGGTTAGATTTTGCCTTGGCCTGGAGACTGTACATCATGAGGGTTTAGGGTTTCGGTGCTAGGCTTTAGGGTTTAGGGCTTAGGGTTCAGGGTTTAGATTTGCAAAAACCGCAGAGAAGTATATTGACCTAAACCGCAGAGAAGTATATTGACCTGAGAGCCAAATCCGGTCATGCACGCGGTCTACCACCACACTTGTCAAGGTTTTGGTATGAAGGGTCATGCATGAATGACTTCGAATCGTGCTAATGACGCCACATACATGTCAACTACCATTATGCATAGGTTCTTGAGCCGTTTGGTATTTTCAAAGTGCATGAATTCCTAGGGCGTTCGGTCCGAGAGGTAGTGCAAGACTCACTCCAGCCGCCGGATTACATATTGCTCTCCGTGCCCATACAAGCCCTGTGATGTCCCCATATACCTCCGATGTACCCCACATGATTTTTGTAACATTCTTGCTTAGCACGTTCTCTGATGGAGGAGAAAGCCTGCAGTGCGCAGCCTCTGAAGGCTCTGGCTGCAGCACCAAGCGCCACGGAGGGTATCCTCTCTGAGGCACGATGTGGGGTGTTTCCTTTAAGTTGATGCAGTGCAGGTCCGCATAGTTTAGTTCGTGTTCGGTACGGGTCCCTATGTACGGCTGTCCCATGTAGGGAACATTTCTGTAGACAAGCTCGCAATTCGGAGTGGAAAGCGCTTATATGGGAGCAGAAAGGGGATTGTTGAGAATCGTGTGGGTCTCACGACATAGAACATGCAGGGAATCAGTCATTTGCAGAAGTGGTTGTCAAACAGCTGTTCCTGGCAGCTTTGGGTCTCTGCCAAGCAAACAGTTGATTTGTGAAATTGATTCTTGATGCTTTAGCTAGCCAGGTGGGGTGAAACAAGAAAAGCAAACGTGTGAGGTTGCAGCAGAGTTCACAGTTCCGTTTAGGGGTTTTCAAGCACGAACAGGATCCTCAATCCATGTTCGGTATGTGGCAGGCCAAGCTTGTGCGTAGCAAGCAGGGAGCAACATGTTTGTAATAAACCCTAAACCCTAAACCCCAAGTAGTAGTTTCCATTTTCTTTTCCATGATCCCAATATATCCCCTATATAATCCCCTTTAAGGATATATCCCCTTTGAGGGGTTTATGGATTCTCCTCTGGAGACTTTTCGAAGGTACTGTCCCCTTCAGTGAAGTGCACGCACGGCTTAGAAGATCAAGTGGTTGGGGGCCCATGGGAGGAAGCCTTCTGTAGGCATTTTGGTCTTTCAGGGTCAACTCCTTAGACCCTGTGGCCTGACTTCGACGAGACCTCCCAGTCGTGAATCAAGAAGCTCCTTACATAACTCTGGAACATTTTACGGTGCTACTCGTGCCGAGGTGCTCAACATGTTCGAGGTTGAGGGCACTAAAGCACCGAGTGCTCGCAAGGCGGTCAAGGGGGAGTTTCTTAAGATGCGCTTTGTATGATCCTTCAGGTGAACCCGTATACTCCCCTTACCATTGCCGTATGTCCCTAGGGTCTCCAGTTGTGTTGAGAACCTCCCCGCGAGACGCAGCTGGATTATACACAGCACTTTGTTGCTATCTTTCTCAGTTCGGGACTTGCTTCATACGCTTGGGCATGGGAGGTCCTGACAATCAACATCTCAAGTATGCAGCCTTTCCTTGCTACACCGTCGGGCCATAGAGGACGGTTTCGGTGCTTTCATTCAGGCGCCCTTCTTGCAGCCGGGAATCTTGGAGCGCGTGAACGCGCTGCACTGCTCGGTGGACAGGCTCCCTTGTCATGCTTGCTGCGCTAGTGGGGATCCCTCCAAACGCGAATCAAACCGAGAGTCTTCTCTACGTTTTACGTAAACATAGCCGGATCGGGAGAAGGACGAACAGTTTGTGTACACACGTCGAAGCGCAGCTCTTAAATGGGATGATAGCACAGGTATGGTTGCATGGTCCACTTCTGCTTGAACAACTTCTGCAAGACGAGCTCCTCGACCTTGCACCTGTCGGGTAGCTTTAGAATTTAAAGATTGCAAGGCCCTCTAAGGCTAGTACAAAGCAATGTAGTGAGTGTAGATGCGGGTCTTGGGGCAGAAGTTTGTGGGAGCTTGCTTCTGAGATTTGAGGTGATGGGCGCGTTGGCCAGGGCTGCCAATGCCGAAGTGATTTCAGCTTGATGCCCGTGCCCGCGGCTTCTACGGTTTAGGGATCGATTCAGACGTTCCCGAAGATTCAAAGCATCCGTGCAGCTCGCGCATGAGGAGTGATAGGCAGGTCACAGCACCTGCCTACGTTTCATGCTTCGAGCTTCGTCCTGCAGAACAAGGTTCCGAGCGCTCGGGGCCGTCCATGCATCGCAGAAAATCAGTGCACCTGTTTTCCGCTGGCTTGACCCGCAGTTTTGAGTGAGCGACACACTTGAGTCAACTCAAATCATTCTTTGAGAAACGTGGGTATAGCTTACACGAAGCTTGATTTCTTTCTCGGACGCCTCTCCATCTTTCCATTGGTCTCTCTTTCGCTCTCCCACTCTGTCTCAATCTTGTCTCTTCTGGTCTGTCCAGCCTTCTGTCTATCTGAACTCTGCATGAGGGTCTCCTACAGCCATCTGGCAATTTCGTGTTGAATGCGGCAATGCATGAAGTCTTGTGGAAGCCCCACGCAGGTTACCCAGGTGGCGGTGGCAAAAAGGACGTGAAAATGGCCCCATGTCCGGAAAACGGATGGCAGTGCGCCTATGGGCACGTACTGCTGCGAGGGTTGGCTCCGCGAAGCTGCGTTGATTTCCAGGAAACCTTCCATGAACTTACTAGCTGGATAGGTACGCTTCGCTCGTGCAGGTTCCTATAGTCTTGGCATGTACAAAAAAGTACGTAGACACTTTTTGGCCAAGGGAATTCGGCAATTGAGTGAAGATGTGATTTGGAGATCATGTCAGTCATCTCTCACCAGACCTTAGCGTTGCTCTTGCGGTTTCCAAAAACTAGGGGCTCCTTATTTCCCAGCTTTCTTATAGTAAGGATTATAAATTAACTTGTAGGGGTATACATGGGCGACTCCAATTTTTGGAAATCTGCATTTTACCTTAGAGTGGTAATTTTCAAGATAGGGCAAAACAGCCGTATTCCCGCAAGCAATGGTGCTTAAGGCTCTATAAGGGCTTCTGCAGGCTGTTGTTCGCTTTGTCTCAGAAGATGAGTTTTGGCACCTGGTGTCTGCACCGGATGTGACGAGAATCCAGGTACATCGATCCGTCCGGAAACATTCAAGGGCCATTTCCCATCGAGAAGATGAGGCCTGAATGTGTACAAATTATTCACTAGTATTGATTACTATTACTATTATCAAGTGCTATTCTTATTCTCAATATTACTAATCATTACTGATATCATTCCTATTACCGCTACCATTCTTATTCTGAGTATTATTACCCAGAAAGCCTAAGTAAGTGTCTCGGCATGAGTATGCTTCAGGCTGCGGAAGATGCATGAGCTGTAGTCT